AAACTTCCAATGTTGGAACATTTTCAACTTCTGGAGGTAAGTTGTTCCACTGATTAATTGTTCTGTCAGGAAATTTCTCCTTAGTTATAAGTTACTACTCTCATTGATTAGTGATTTACAGCCCTGTTTAAGCAGTTTACAGAATCAACATATTGCCCCCCAACAATCTGAGTCTTTTTTACCCACCTCAGAAAGATGGAAGGCTGAATCGACCTTGAGCCTGTCAGAATCAAACTGCTGGCCATGAGCAGAGTCAGCCTGCAATACCACATTGTAACCACTGGGCTACCATAGCTATTATGTACATACATATATAAGTGTGTGTGTGTGTGCGTACATACGAACATACAGTATGTACATGCATGTATTTGATATATCTATGAATTTTAATTTTAACTACTGACAACCTCTCTTATAATTCTTGATTCAGAAGTAGACAGAAGAATCACAAATCTAGGAGGGGAATAAAAGCAAGTAAATTTAAACCCAATCAATGTTCATGATTTATTTTTCATCAAGGTTTTGTCCAAAGGATGCCTCAAACAGCAAGAAAGAACAGAAATCATAATGTACAGCGGGAATTTTATAATTTGCACGATGCAGCTCTGAGATAGAGAAGAAGAAGAAAAAATCTCTGGGGGTAGAAGCTGAAATTAAAATAAATGTGGAAATATTAAAAAGAAGGATCACAGCTGAACTGGTCTACTTTCTTCCTATCCTGTCAATTTGTTGCTCTAGGGAGTAGATAACCTTTGTTCTCAGCTCTAAAAGTTAAGTGCAAAAAGATGAAAGGGAATCAGACTAAGCCTTGAAGTTATAGGCACTCCATTATATTACTACTCTCCCAGTTTTTTATGAGATGGTACCATTTCAATCAAATGCGAATAAATCATCAAATTCTAATTTGATTAGTAGCAAAGCAAGTAATCCAACTTCACTGGTTAGAAATATTTTGCTCTTTTTCATGTGTTGTGCACAATAGCATAAGCCCTACGGCAGTTTGAGATAAACCACATCCAGACATTATTGATGATCCTATGCATTTGTTTATCTCTTATTTTTCATTATTATTTTAGAAGAACCACAAGGCTTCCAAGAGGATTCTCTCCCGGCTTTGGGAAGGACCAGCCCTGCACCTCTAGAATTCATGAATTACTCTGTACCTCTTCTTTATCGCCCAAGATTGTGTCATTAAACCCAAATAGAAAGTCAACATGTCATATGCTCTGAAACTACAGTTTTGGAATGTCTATGGAAATACTCAATGGTCCAGGTCATGGTTGTCTCAAAGGTGCTTTTTCAAAAGGCAACTGGACTATGTCTTTTTACCTTGAGGAAGAGGTTTCTCTTCTCATCCAAGAAGCTTCTTCAGTTCTAATCCCCTCCAGTCAGTTAGAATCGAAAAAGCTTCTTGCATGAGAAGAGAAACCTCTTCCTCAAGGAAGGTTCCTCAACATAGTTCAGTTGTCTTTTGGGAAAAAAAACACCTTGATATACTTTTGGAAGTCCTTTGCCTATAGCTTTCTCTGAACATGTTCCAATTTATGTGAATCTTTCTTAAAATGTGTTGCCCAGTGCCACATGTGTGATTAGATTCACACATCAAGTCATGTTTTATTTAATCATGGCTTATTAAATAAACCGGTTGGCTATTATTTAGTATCATCATTTATTAATTATCTTGCCACACATCTCACCCCAAGCTGGGCGGCTTCATAATGATCTCCGGAATATTTAAAATATATTACTCACTGAGCTTTGGTTAGCAACTGCTAACATCGTCAGAGTGTAAAAGCCATTAAAGGGATACCTGCCTTTATACAATGTTAATCAACTTTGCCATTGCACACGTGATAGGCCCATCCACCCGCCTCCCACCTGTGATTAGCCCTGGGGAGGAACAGTCCAAGCTGTGTTTGATAAGGGAGGAAGGAATAGAAGCATCAATTAACATGCCTGATGTAAAAACAACAGCCAACCAATCTGTTTAAAGCAACAAAGCCAACATTCCACATACCCCTACCTATATTTATAGAAAAATGGCAGCTCCAATCACGCTTTGCTCAGACAAGCATGAAGCCAAAGCACCAGCCTGAAGATGACGAGTGGGACCTCATCGAAACGTTGCCAAGATACTGTCAATCTTACATGGGAAAAGACCTCAGGCTGGTGT